TTTGGCTCTGATGTGATTCAGATAAATGTGGAACTTTGGAAATGTTGGAACAAGCCAGCTGGATTTCATAAAGGTCTCGCAGCAGCCTCTGCACTCCCTGTGAAAGCCACAGGATTTAACCAGCGGACAGCACAACCTCTACATATTCTAAATATTACATGATTAGACAGAGGGGAGGTTAGATAAGCAGAGCAGAATATACCACACAATTACAGACCTACAAACACCGAGCTGTGTTTGGACTGCGAACAATGGCGGCTTGTGAGCAAAGACGATTTGCATAATATTGAAGAATGGAGGAGAAGAAGGCGCACATTTACTCAATGACTAAAACAAATATTGAAACATTCCTAATGGTATCCAGAGGAGGAAGCAGTCACATTTGTTTACAGTGTCTGGGTAATGACTGCACTATTTCATTGGCTCTTTTCAGTGCACTATTGCTGATGCGTTTGATCACATGGGAGAACATTTCATATTTTGTTATTTTTCTTTTACTCGTTGAACAAAGGGCTGCTTTAATAGCCATAATAAAAACATACTTCTCCCAATGTTGAACTACAACTGTCAGCTCACATAATAGTTACACTAGTTCATTTAAATTAGAAGGGAAACTCACATCAGCGTCCAGCCTGGTTAAAGCCGTCGTCTGTAAGACGGTGGTGTTTCACATCTGATCCCACTGCAGTTGGTAGCCTGAAGTCATGGCTGTAGTGTTTGTGCTGCACCTCCAACAAATCACGTTGTGTTATAACTGTGTTGGCACGCAGAGCTGCGGCATCTATGTGTTGACTTTTCCAACCAGTGCCTGGTCTTTTCTCTCTGTGCCCTTTGTCGGTTATGTTGAGAATTCCTTATTTTCCTTGTGTATATCCAGCCCAGACTGCAGTGTCGTACAACTGATACATTTCTGCATGAAAATCCTGATCACAATGTGAAAGGGGAATTCAAAAGTCTGCCTCAGATTTGTAATCATCCAAGCCCATTTAACACATAAATTAGACTTGAATTGTAGTCATGTTTCCCACTATAGTAGCAGGTCGCTGCCACTGACTATCTGCTTCAAACATTGACCTTTGACCCAAGGGTATCAGCAGCTCACAGGGGGCTGCCTCCTCAAGAGTTCATTTTCTTCCCTAAAGAAAATACACTACGTTTAAGGGATGCACACAGGGAAACCCCCTCAGTCCTGTGCAACAGTGAGTCATTTGTTACCAAACATGTCAGCGAGCTCCTGAAACCTACCCCCCCCATCACCCTCCCCATCCACCACCACCAACGACTTATTTCAATCTGATTGATGTGACTGTGACTCACTCTGATATCTGACCTCTCTGTGCTTTCCTCCACTCAGATGAACCTGGACAAATGTAAAATGCAGCCACCGACGGTATGTGCAACATCATGTCAACCGGCTGTAGCCTCAGATTTAGAAACAATTCAGGTGTTAGGGGATAGCTGTGTTTACAAAGGTCAGACTGGAGGAACAGGAGAAGGGTCCGGGGCCACTCCAGTCTGTGGAGCTTCAGTTTTACAGATGTATACAGGAGAGAGAAAGAGAGAGAGTTTGGAAGCGTCTGCCTTTTCTTACACTCAACCCATAATAATCCTGCGCTAATTGAGCTACGTTAATTGTATAGCAGCAAAAACCACTCAGTGAATCTCAGACTGATGCTTGAACATCTTTGAATAAACTATCGGCTTCAGTCCGACAGCTGTTAGAAGCCAAACAGGATGTGTATGTTATTCTCCTGAAGCTAACGTTTGGATAATATAAGGAAACCCATCGTCCCCACTGCCCATGTTAAAATGTGTACAATTGCCACAGATGGAACACTTTGTGTTAGCATTGCGGGAGAGCAAGTCTGTACTTAGCATGTTGTTTTTAGCTAAGCTTAATGTCTTCCATGTCTGAGCCCATTTGTCTCCAGGCTGACAGGACCACATCAGTGGCTGAGCAGGAAGAGAGGAGAAGTCTGCATGTGTGCGATATATGTGACAGCTGCAATTCTGGTTGGTGGAGCAACCCGTGGCCCCCGGGGTCACAGCAGCCAACAAACCCACAACTGATTTATACTGAGATTCTACTCCTGACTGGTGTCTGCCAGCTCTTTTTGTCTGGTCGGAGTATTTAACAGACAAAATGAGAATCTAAACGCTGTAAAATATAATATAATATTTACATATAAACTGTGTATATGTTTTTAACCAGAAACATGAGAGGTGCAGACATGTGTTTAGTGTGTCGTAGGTTGGGCTGGAGCGCTCACTGAAGTCTGAGGCGATTCATATCCGTGTGTTTGACAGGAAGGTCAGCGCCAGTCCTGCTGTGTTTATCCAAACTGCCAGCTACGGAGCTTGTACAGGTGAATATCTGATGCTGAGATCTTTAACAATTCACATCCACGCTGCTTTTATCTCTACACTCTGACACTGTGCGGGCACATTATTGAAACAATGATGGAAAAAAATATTGTTTTGGAAAAAGTATAGTTTTAAACGCATGATGTTTTGAAAAGGACGCCATGTTTGTATGGAGTCGATGTCTCTGTTCCAGCTGTATTTAACAAATGGGGAATGTCACAGATATGGCCACACATGTAGGTGTAACTGAAAAAAAACCCTGTTGCAGAACAGTAAGAGCAGAGTGGTCATGTTCCTGTATTGCATTCTTATACATGTGCTAAAACATGTAGTACAAGATGTTAATTTACTGACTGGAGTCAGAACAACAAACATGTAACAGAATGAAATAGATGTAACCCTAGTACAGTACCTAGACTTAAGCAGCAGCCGGGTGCTAATTTGTACATAATGTGTACTGTGACATGATGATCATGCAGTTATATATGTTATATAGAGCAACAGATACAGTATTGTATCAATTTTACATACATAGAGTAAACTCTATATAAAAGAAGGTATAATTATAAATTATAAATAATGATGTTGAAATAGTCCACAAATCAAAAGAAGAGTGGGCATTGTTTAGAAGATATATGGCACATGAATGGCAAAGGCATTGGTGTATTAATTTGGGTTAAATTGTAAATAGAAATCAGACATTCTACCACTGTGGCAGCAGTTTACAAAAACATTCAAGTTAAATTGATTTGACCGGCTGCATTTGCTGTAGCCACTTTGGGAACCACTCACACGTATCATTGGATTTTGCCTGAGTTATTACTTAGACTCAGTTTGTTCACTCTTTATCACTGAGGTACGTGCCAAACTGTGTGAGACAAGACAAAAATGCCCGACTCCTGTGTTCTACGGCACATGGGAATATTCCAGATATGTCCACCGACCACTGCAATTTGTAACCACATCAGTAAAAAAGACACAATGAAGCTGTTTTAAAAACACAAACATCGTATTCACTACATCCGACGGTTTAAAACCACAAATAACACCAATAAACTTCCACATAGTGGAGCAAATGAGCATGGGAATTCAATTTGTGTGAATACAGTGGTTGAAGGACTGGGCTGAAGAAGACCTCTGTGAGACACCAGTCTGTGGTACAGAGCTCTGGACGTGTGTGACACTCCGAGTGTTTAGGAGCAGATATTTGTTTTGTTTTCATTTGGCCATGACAACAGATGATCGGCCGACTGCCACACCTCGGCCCAGATCGAGAGAGGTGTGGAGTCTGAGGCCGTTTCCCATCATCCCCCCTGTGGACACCGCTCACTGTTCCAAACAGCTGCACTTGTTCGTATGACTGTAGCAGAATAAAACGGAGCTAAAACAGTGTGAGCCTTGAGACCCAGTGATCTGATTCTGCTGACACACATTCTTCGGTTCTTCCTTTGTTTTGTCCCTACACTTAAATGGATCAGTGGCATTTATTTGTTTTGGTTTTCTCTAAATCCACCCATTGAAACAGCAACACAGAAACAATTAGCAGGTTTTAAAGTAGAACTTCCCACAGAATTTCCCATGCGCTGGTTCAGTGATAATTACTGGGTGACATATTATTATATACTCGTGAGCTCAAAGCTCACAAGATGCCATTCCCAGATGGCAATGTTATGGATGTCCTAATCCCAATCTCCTGTAATAGGTCAGCTGGTTAAAACAATGGATTCATTATTTAAATTAGCTACTCATAAGAAATCAGTACCTCAGGCTGATTTTTGCCTCTATCTTCAAATACCAGCACATGTGTTTACGGAAGGTCTGTGAGGTCAGACAACCAGCTCGTGTCGATTATCACAAATGTCAAATATATTGTGAGGGACCGTAGACTGATTAATGTTGATGAGGACAAGGACTTCACAGAAGTTTAAAAAAAAAGAAAGAAAAAACTCCCAACATCTCTACAAGTCACGTGATGTCCAGTAATGAAAAATATTTTAAATACAGTTTTACATTGATCTACTGCTATTTGACTTCTGTTCCATGAATATACAGGAAAACAAATGTAGCTCATAGTCAGGAATGTTGAGTCACCTGTAAATCATGATAAATCAGAATACATTCACAGCAAATTCATTAATCTGATCACAAACTGAAACTGAAATCAAGTTCTAGATGATGTATTAAAGATCAATAAATGATTAATAAATGATCAGAAGATCACATATGAATCAGCTGCTGATCACTGTATTGTATAGTATTTTTTTAATCATACTGCTGTTGAAACAGTGATAACTGATGATGGAGATTTTTGGGGGAATGTATCTTTAAAATAAACAAAATACACATTAATATAATGTCATGGTTTGGAGAGCTGTGTGTGACAATGGCAAATAGTTTTTAAAATCATTTAAATTTTAATAAAAGCATATAAAGGTTTTTGTAAAAGTTAGACCAACATTTTCCAAAAACGAATGGAAACAGCACAAAAGTAGATATTTACAGCTGTACTGATTTTGGAAACGTAACTTGCTGAAGGACCACGTCCAAGGTTCAAACACAGTGACGTACACCTCTGGCACCACACAGCGCTGGAAAAAATAATATGGTGTGATAAGTGGTTTTCATCCTCTACTTACTGTGAAGATCGGCAGCCTTCTCATGCCAGCCTCTAGGTCTGGGGTGAGCTTTTCTAAGTTGTCGATCTGCCAAGAACTATGAGTGTTTTTGCAGGGCCAGGTGTACCTTTGATGCATTGTTCCCTAAGAGTGTGAAGAGATGGCGCAGCCCCTATGCACACAGTCGAACCAATTCAAGAGGAGTATCACAAACACCAGAATTGGTTCCAACACCTTCACAGTCAAATCTCCTGCGGCAGTGAGAAGGTGAGGGAAACTTCACTAAAAGGCCAAAAACCTTTTTTAAACACTACTAGTAAAATATTTGCCTTGAATGTCACTGAAGAAAAACATACTTTTCAGTTGAGCAATTAAAACCAATCAGGCCAGATCTATAAGAGCTCCAAATATGTAAACAGTTCTACAAACAATGTTGTGATGGCGGTTTGAGAGATTAAAGCCACGCTCTGTGCGCACAAGCACCTGCCATATGTGGACATGATGCAAAATTAAAAACAGGTCTCATATGATTTTCCTTTGGCTCGCTCTTTCTGAGCTGCGGCCGAAATTCCTCGGACATCTTGTAAGCCCATCAGCCTGATTTCCCCTCATGTCACATTTAACGGGAGGAGGAAAAGTGTAGTAACCATACAGGGGGAAAAAAATAGAAAACAACCTCTCTCACTCACTGCTGAATCGCAGCGTAAGCAACTTTGTTGTTCACCTACACAGAGGCAGATGTAATGCTATACAAAACTATACTGCACTGTATACCAATGTATAGAGTCAGACATCTTATACACATTTACAATATATACAATATATTATATATATTTACAAGATATGGTTTAAATTGCTTAAAATAATATCTATTATATATATATATATTTATAAATATATATATATATACATAATATAATTTATATATTATATTTTTGACTCTACTGAAGCCTTTCATTAACAGATGTTCAAGTCAAATAAATGAGCTCTGTTGTTTGTTTACTGTGTGTAATTCATTATTACATGTTTTTCTTCCTGAGAAACCAAAACAGGACCAGTGACTGATCCATATCTTGTAACTGTAAAGTGTCCCGTAATGCTGAGTATCCTCTGAAATGGACCCTCCATGCAAATTCAGGATGACATCACAGTGCCCAGTGTGTGCGGGGGGTGGGAGACGGGAGGGGGGTGTTAAAATAAGTTCAGTAAATCACACATCTCTGTGACCTGGTGATTGAAATTACTGACCAAACATGAAGCCTGTTTTGAAACCTACAGTCTGAGCTCGGCAGCGTCGGAGCTGAGTGTGCCCGTATGTAGATGAGACGGAAGAGAGAGGCCAAAAATACATGTGGGTTAGTTAAAAGAAATAAAAATAAATGAATGAATGCCCCTGCAAACAGTGCTAATGTCCCACAGCTGAGCACTTTAAACAGATGGTGGAGTTATGCTAAATATAAGCAGGGCAGCATTTAAATGCCGAGATAAAAATACAGGCTGTTGAATAAGACGAGTGGCACAAGATGATAGAATTATTCTAAAGAAAGCTAAAGTTTCTCTCTCTCTCTCTCTCTCTCTATATATATATATATATACACATCTATATATGCTTCCAGTGGCTGTGAACTATATTGCACATAAATCAACTTTGACTCGACATATGCCGTTGAAGTGACACAGAGTTCTGAGTCTGGAAGTGATAATACAACTGGTGATATTTGTCTTTTCTTCATCAAATAATTCTCTCGGGGACGTAGAGCAGCCCTGCTGTGTCAAACGTCTGTGCAACAAACGACTGAAGCATGTTTTCTTAATAAATCTACGAAACACGAAACATCATGTAACGTACATAAACTCGGAGCCCTTGGAGCTTTGAGGTTTTCTCAATCGTATTAGCTTACAATGAGCTTTTGTCATTAGCTCTGCATTCGCAGCCATAAGATCAATCATAAACATCAGCCACTTGTGAAGCCTTCAGCTTTAAAGGAGAGGAGGAGTAGTGTTTGGAGTTCCAGTATATACAGTATAATCCTTCCCTAATCTGTCTCCAGAGGTATGTGTTACACGTTAGTGCTCCAGGTTATTTTTCATTGGCTGAGAAGATATCCAATATCTACCATTTATTGAAAGACAATATATAATAATAAAGATAAATAATGGGATTAACGTCTTAACACACACACACACAAAACAAGCATTCAGGTATGTTGTGCCCAGGGTAGAAAGTGATACATGTCAATTTGGATTTAAACACAGAACACAGTATTTTATTGCTCACCATGGGGGACATGGTCAGCTGAGTTTGAAAGTACTGAATAATACAATAATTATACAAGCTTAAAAAGAATCTGATGATCTGATGGGAATCTGCCCCTGCCTGACAGCCCCCCCCCCCAAACCTCCATTATACCAAAAAGACTTGTTTGCCAAGTCAGGAAACGGCCATGCTGTTTTGATGAGACAAACATCCATAGAAATCCAGTATTTCTGCGGGGTGCTAATTTGTCATGCCTCGCTACAACATGTAGCATGTATAGGAAGCTCTCGGATCTCCTGCCCGCTCTTGGGGGTCATTATGAAGCGAGAAAAAAAAATAATCACAACAATATAGAAAGACAGAATGTGATGGATTCCTGCATTAAGTGGATGAGGCCCTCCTCGCTGCAGGACTTGGGTTACACTACTTCACATATGGAGCTCTTTGTCCCACGTTCCCTCAAGTCTTTTCATGACGAAACACCCCTCGCTGTGTCAGTTGAAAGCAATGTCCAGTATGGCATGGTGTCATCGGAGCGCGGAGCTCTTCTGTTGGAATACTTATCGTTTTCCCACATCTTAAAAGTGACTGTGGTTTTTGTGTCATGTTATTCTCATGAATACGGTCAGGAAGCCGCAACACTGACCAGTGTTTCTACAGAACTGTCACCAGTACCACCCACACATGGGCCTGTAACATGTCAACTACAGTACAGCTACTACAACTGTAGTATATAGAGTATTTTCCACTGACTTCTGTAAACAAAGATCATTTTAATTTCACCTGCGTTCCCGACACAGGGCACTGTTTTCCTTGAACCCATGTTTCTTTCAGTGGACTTACAATATATAAGATTTTCATTTATAGACTTGACATGTTACAGTGCTGTTCTTCCAAATGCATGGGGAATTGAGAAAATCTGGACAGAGGGAAGCTACATCTGCAGCATGTAAACATCACTGTTTCAGGGATTATTTCCGTACAATGTCATGATATGTGGCGTTTCTGCAGCGGCCACCTTTAATTTTCCGCCTGTTATTTTTAACTCTTCTTTATTCCACTACTGCACAACGTCTTCATCCTTCCTTAGTAATAGTTTGCATGGGATGTGGAGCTGACACTGGACTCCTTGCTCCTGGGTTTCTGTGGACTCAACACTTTCCAAAGATAACATGGGCAAAAGATTTCCACTCACGGGCAGGCTGAGGCCCTGCTGAGGCATCCTGCCTGACGGGGAACAGACCAAAATGAGCTTGCTCAGATGTATCCCAGGATTCATAGCACACCACTCTGTGAGGATCTATAGGTATAGATATGGATTAGAAAAGTGCTGGCGAAAATGCACTGACCAATGCAAACACAGGATGCCAAGCTGATGTCCGAGCGTGCCGTCGAACGTGAAACGCTTTCTGCATCTTAACATTCCACGTGACTAGTAGCTGCCGCTCCCCGTGAACTTCCAGGCAGACGGATCTATCTGTGATTTATTGTCCTTTTCTATTATTACGGGGTAAACTGAGATTTCCAAGAAAAGCTTGTCTCTCACTGAGGATCTGGAAAGCCCAGCCTGGCAGTGTGCAACAGTCAGGCTCCACATGACGTCTTAGCAGGGGAACATTCCTCCATGTCTTTTCCTCTCCTTCTAAAACCACCTTTCCCAATTTAGAATTGGGGGAGCATGAAAAGAGGTTAAGTGCAAAAATACACGGGGAGCAGATTAATGCAAAAATAATTGATGAAAAACATGAGCTGCAGTATGTTAAATGTCCCTCATTCACTTCTGTGCTTCAGGAACTTTCCTGGAGAAACACAAGACGATTCCATGTAAAGGTAAAAAGGTTTCCACAAAATAACCTGACACAATCGACTGAAATCTTGTCCAGTCTGTTCATTTGCAAATAAGTGGCTGTAAGTTAAAGTTAAAATATTTTTCTTTCCTACACTGCTCAACCAAACCCCACAATAAAACTCTGCATTGACGCCACGTTCTTACTATTCAGTTTT